TTAAATCTTTAAACCGAAAGTCAGGAGCCAAAGCCACAGCTCTGGTGGCCAGTCAATGCCCTGGGATTCGCTTGGCCTTACCTCTTGATCATGATGGCAACACAGGTCTGTCAGCTGATACCCAGCAGAGCACCAGTAATACCCAGATGTAGGGATGAAAACTGGTATTCCTTCTTCATCCCACCCACAGCTACCTCTAAGAGCAGGTGCCCAAACACCACCATTTTCAAGTAAGATCTCATCACGGAAGTCTGTGATACACTCTAAAGGGATAAAAAGTTTCCCCCCCATTTCTCTGCAGGCTCGGGAAATAGCAATATTGTCATTGCTTCAAAGATCAGTTGGGCATAAAAGTAAAACCACTGACATGAGGATCTGACACATATCAGGCACTTTTTTCCTGTAAGCTTGATCTTTCAGCCATTCTCCATGTAAAGACTGTTTTACTGCAGAAACCAAAAGACTGTCTGTGCTGTGCAGATCGTAGGATCTTGGTAACACTCCCAAGGGATGAATTCCTAAAAAAAAACCCCAGCTGTCCATCAGCAAACAGAACGTGAGACTTTGCGCTCTGTAACTCTCAAATCCTTCCTGATGAAAGCACTTCTCATAATTCATCATGCACAAAAAGAGAGGCCGAAGCACCAAGAGGTCATCAACAGCTTAAAATAAAATGAGCCGTGGCCGACTGCGAAAAGCGGGCTTTGAATGAGCACAACTCCGTTCGCTTGCTGCTTTCTGCCAGGCAAAGTTTCTGATTATTGACTGGCGTGGAGGAAGCGGTTACCCTTCAGGGATCGCACCAGACTGTTAATACGCCTTCAGATTTGCAGGCTGGCTGTGCCCTGCCGCAGGCACGAGCTGCTGCAACTGTTCTCTGACCTCTTCTGGGCACAAATTGCTGTAATCACTCCAGGAAATTTGAGAAATCTGGGGATTTTCTTTTTGTCATTACACTCTAATGTTGCAGTTGCTTCCTGAGGACAAGGCTGACATTAAGTTGCTGCTCTTACTCCTCCACATCACCTAGGTTTTCAACATTTGATGTGTAACCTGAAGGGAAAATGTGTCAATTAAAGAGTTATGGAAGCTTGCTTACCTGAACCCATGCAATCTTTTTTTTTTAACAAATTAAGGTAGGAAATAAATATGACAAGAGAAACTATGCCTGAGGTTACTGTTCTTCCATTTTGTCTGCTGTCGTTGATTTTACCAGCAATAAGGAACACAGGGGATAGCGAGGGATCAGTTCTGCATAAATTAATGACAGACATCAGAGTATTACACCACCAAATATATCCATCTAGTTTTACTTATCCCTCAATATTTTTTTCCTCTACTAGACTAATTGCTTTTCACTTGCGGCAATTACTGTGTCAGAACCCCTACTAGACAGCTGTTTTGATTCATGCACGGATAAAAAAACCCCAGCATTTTCATCCCTTTCCTTCAAATCTCTCCCAGTTCCCCCAAATCCATTCCAAAACATATTTCAAAAGGTCTGTTAAATTTTTACTGAAATTTATTTTTCAGAGTATTAGTTTATTTCTTGGAAAGAAATAAAAGATTATTATCTCGTCAATGCTTAAGAGGATCAAGTGTCAAAGCAACTGGCATCTCAGCTGAATTGGAAAGTAATCCACTTTCGGTCAACAAGTATTTTATCAAGACTTGGACATGATCTATGCAAAGTAAGCAACAGCAAGACTTTTAAATCTTTGTGAGAACTGAGAATTAAAATAGGTGGGACCAGTTGCGTAGCTTTCCTCTAGACTATACATCAAAAACTGGTTTGCATTATAGCAAGTACATAAACCAAAACTAAGTAGGCATTTAGACATCAGTGGCACCAGGATAAGATTAACATCAGCCACAGCAAGTCTTTTCTCTTGTTGAATCACTTCTAATTCCTACCTAATCTAATGTGTCTGTGTCTACAGTATCTATTACCCTATAAGAGCAATGCTTGCCTAAAAGGGACATTCTTCCTACTTGTCATTACAAATGATTACTTGGCCATCACACATCCATTCCAAGCAGCCCTATATCACGTTGAAAATACAATTCCAGTTCATATCTCCCAGAATTAAGGATCATTTCCATATATTGATCCTTGGTGCATACGAAGAGACAAGTGGGAAGAGATAGCTATAATATAGCCAGACAAAATATTCTAATATTGTAGATTAGAAATTTTCTACATTACTAAAGTATATAAATTAACAGATTTGAATATAAATTGAATTCTTCTAAATTATGCTTAGGTCTAAAGAGATCTCAGTACATTATTACTCTCTCATGCTCTAAACAACATAGCCCTATAGTATGAGTTCTGATGCTTTGGATCAGACTTAATTTGATCAAAGCTTTCACTGCTAAGAGAAGCCAAGAAAAAGCACAAAGCCCAATTTGCTGAGAACAAAATGCCGATACTTTGATACTTGAAAGGCCCTGGCAGTCAGGTGAGGTCCTTGGAGATTGGAAAAAGGGAAACACTGCACCCATTTTTAAAAAAAAGAGTAGTAAAGAGGACCCTGGGAACTACTAACCTGTGATCCTCACCTCTGTGCCTGGAAAGATCATGGAGCAGATCCTCCTAGAAGCTTTGCTAAGGCACATGGAGGACAGGTGATTCAAGACAGCCAGCATGGCTTTACAAAGATCAAGTCCTGCCTGAGCAACCTACTGGCCTTCTATGATGGAGTAACCACATCAGTGGATAAGAGACCCATATCAGTACATGCTGGGAAACCAGGGGATTGAGAGCAGTCCTGCTGAGGACTCAGGGGCACTGGGGGATGAAAAGCTGGACATGAGCCGGCAATGTGCGCTCGCAACCCAGAAGGCCAACTGTGTCCTGGGCTGCATCCAAAGCAGCATGGCCAGCAGGTCGAGGGAGGGGATTCTGCCCCTCTACTCTGCTCTGGTGAGACCCCACCTGGAGTCCTGCCACCAGCTCTGGAGCTCTCAGCACAGCAAAGACATGGACCTGTTGGAGCGGGTCCGGAGGAGGCCACGACAATGATCAGAGGGATGGAACATCTCTGCTGTGAGGACAGGCTGAGAGAGTTGGGGTTGTTCAGCCTGGAGAAGAGAAGACTCTGGGGAGACCTTCTTGCAGCCTTCCAGTACTTCAAGGGGGCTTGTAAGAAAGATGGGGACAGATTTTTGAGCAGGGCCTGTTGCAATAGGATGAGGGGCAATGGTTTTAAACTAAAAGGCAGATTTTTACTAGATCTAAGAAAATTTTCACCATGATCATGGGTGGTGAAACACTGGCCCAGGTTGCCCAGAGAGGTGGTAGCTGCCCCATCCCTGGAAACCTTCCAGGTCAGGTTGGACTGGGCTCTGAGCAACCTGATGTGGTTGAAGATGTCCCTGCTCATTGCAGGGGATTGAACTAAATGTCCTTAAAATGTCCCTTCCAACCCAAACTATATTCTATGATTAGCCAGAAACCTGCCTAACTTTTAAAGAAAACATTATTTTTCAGTGCTTCAAAATAGTGCTTCTGGCTATCCAACTTAACCTGTCCCCTATTCTAGTTCCTAATATATTCTTCTCAGACCACTTCAATCACTGACCCGTTGCCAACATCAGTGCTGTAGGGGCATTAGAGTGCCATCTGCTATGAGTCTTGTATCTTCCACTTTGAATTCCAGACATTGGGGCTGGGGATTTAATTATTTATGTTTTTTTCTCCCTAGGATAGCCTTTGAACATACACATCCTGCTAGCTTCACAAACCCAGGAGAATAACAGTCAAATGCCATCACCTTCAATGCAGTCAAGAGCAAATGGAGCAAGTTGGTTAGTTTTATACCATGGCAGCATCTCTCAAAGAACCACCATATTATTGTACTTCAAAAGAGGGAGTACTTTAACAGAAAGAAGCAATTCTTTCCTTTCAAGGAAATGCTTCAATTTTTGTAAAGTTTGCTTTCTGTATCAACTACACTTTAAGAGAGGCAGCCTTGCAGGACAGCCCTTGTTAGGTGTTAGATTAGATCATGAAATAAACTCCTTTTTGTACCTCAAGGCAGTAGCTAATTTCAGTCTCATTGTTACCTAATCTCACTGCAGATCATTTGCAGGAACTCTAATCTGAGACCATAGTGAACTCCTTCACAGACCAGACACCCTTAATGAAGTTCTATTAAGCATACTCATTCCTGTTGCTCCATATTTAGTGTAGAGTAGCAATGTTGTAGCACCTACTGTTTTCACTACTGTTATGTTAAAGCCAAAACTCAACTGCATGATGCAGAAGAATACTGCTCCAGCCTGAATTAGCTGAATTTACCCTGAAACACCATCCATTTAGTGCAGCTGATCTGAAAGTCCAAACTAAGCATAAGTTTTACTTGACATCTACCAACCGCATGACTAAGCAGCTGTTTCCTGCAGAACTTTCATTTCCTCGGGAATTCTGCAATTCAGAAGAAAATTAACACATAGCTTTGCCCACTGGAGTACTGAAGCCAGTACAGCACTGAATACAACCAGCTCTTTATTACTATTATATGAAACACTGCTCCCCGATATTAAAGAAAAAGCAATGAAGTACACAAGCCAGCTGCATGTTATTTTTCAGTACCCAGAATATCCAGCTTAAGTTCTTCACCCTCCATATCAAGTTTCTTCGTTTCTTCAACATATTTCAATAATCAATACAGCTTGATTTGCAGCACCATTTAAGTTATATACCCAGAAAGAAGCACAGGTCATGAAAGGTTAGGTTACGAAAGTCTAAAACTTGCATCTTACCATTTGTTGAGTATTACAAGACAGTTCTTTATTTTAAACATTAAAGTGCCAGGTTTATGTACAAACTATTAAAACAATAAAAAAGGTAAACTTAAAACCTGCTAAGAAAGCAGTGAGGTCATGTAGTTGCCTCCAGAGTTTCCTGCAGTGTTCAGCAAATTTAAGACTAAAATTTCCCAGCTGCTGCTTTGTTCATGGGGGAAACAGCAGAAGCTAGCAGTCACTGCCCATAGCCTCCCATCTTGCAGAAGGAAGGTGCCTGTATCTTTCACAAAATGGAGTAGCATATGTTGTAAGAGATACATCTAAACATTCTATGAATTAACACCATTGGCAAAGTCTAAAAAAGGGATTTTACTGCTGGAGCTACACTAGCCTCCTGAAAAGTACCAATATCACCACACTTTAAGAGCGGGATTTTAGTACAGGAATCAAGTCACAACTGTGACTCAATATATTCAATGTTGCCCTGTAAACAGGAGAACATACACACTAACTTATATGGTCTCAGTTCATTTAAAATTCCGCATCCAGGGTGAAAGAGTTGTCTGTGGGCTTCGACATGACTCCCATCCTCTGATATTCACCTACTCGCTTCTCAAAGAAATTGGTCTTGCCTTCCAGAGAGATGTTTTCCATGAAGTCAAAAGGATTCTCCGCCTTGTATATCTAAAAAGGAAAGGCAATTCTATAGTCACTACAGGTGCTCCTGTCTTGAATACGTGAGAGCATTAGTGATCAGCTGGAAGGAGTCTAATGACAACATCACCAGGCTTACTACACAGTGAACAAAAATCTGTTCCAAGCCTTCTCTACTGTATTTGTTCCTGACTTTTAGCTGCAGTAGACAGAAGCACAGCAACTCTGACATAGCTGTTTTTCTATAGCATCCTTTTGGTTTTTCTTCTGTGGGTCTCCAAACAGGATCTAGCAGCTGGACTACTAAATGGTTTTAAGTTATACCAATATCACTGCAGCCATTTTAGGATTTGGGCTTCTGGAGGAAATTAAACTTAATACTATGTTTTCCCCATGAAATATTGTGTATTAGAGCCTTACCTTGTTAAATCCCAATTCCAACATAAGCCGGTCTGCTACAAACTCTATGTACTGTTTCATTAAAGTGCAGTTCATGCCAATCAGCTTTACAGGCAGTGCCTCCGTCAAGAATTCCTGCAGATAATAGAAGCACATTATGTACAGGAACTGGTATTCACTCTGTACCATCTAGGTTAATTTTATACTAAACAGCTCCCCAGCTTTCTGCTTAATTGTGACCAAGTTGCTAAACAAGGAGCAGACAATTACCTGTTCTATGAGAACAGCATTCATGACGATTTCCTTGACTCTCTCCTCTGATGGTTTGCGTATCAAGTGCTTGAACATGAGGCAGGCAAAATCACAGTGCAAGCCCTGGAAAGAAGTTTCAGAAAATTATTTCAGGAACACTGATTTAAAGAGTCACTCCAATCAGTAGCATGGAATAAACAGCCCAATATCTAGGCACCACCTTTACACTTGCCACATTATTTAGTGTTCTCCACAGACATCTTGCTGCCTAACCAGAAGGAGGCATAAGCAGGTTTCAGCCAGTACCAGCTGCACTTGCTCCAAATGGCAAGGAATACCAAGTGCAAGATTTGATGAGAAGCCTTAAACTACTTTAGGGGAAGTAAAATGCTAAGTTCATTCATCCTCTACTGCAAGATCCACAGTGATGCATGTTTACACACTTTAGCAAGCATTGTAAGACTGCCCGTTTCTAAACACGCTCCTTTAAAATACAGGCTCCAATTGAATAACATTACCTTGGGCTATTGTGGCACATTACCATCTAACTGCTAGAATTTGATTCATACCTCATCTCTACTGATGAGTTCATTAGAAAAAGTGAGTCCAGGCATTAATCCTCTTTTCTTCAGCCAAAAAATTGATGCAAAAGAGCCAGAAAAGAAGATTCCTTCCACTGCTGCAAAAGCTACTACGCGTTCCCCTGTTTAAGGAAAGATTCATAGTAATATCACACAGAAAACTTAACAGGATTAATACCCAGAAGTTGCAAATAGAGCAATGAACTGCATCCTCCAAGGAGAATGAAATTTCTGCTCAAGTGTGCTATAGCCCGTCCTGAAAAAACTATTACAGTAAAGGCTTCTTGTCATTAAGCAAAACTTTTAAACGTGAGAGGAAGTAAAAACTGTATAGTATGCTGGTTTTGGCTGGGATAGTTCATTTCCTTCACAATAACTAGTATGGGTCTATGGTTTGGATTTGTGATGAAAACAGTGTTGGTAATACAGGGAGGTTTTTGTTACTGCTGAGCAGTGCTTACACAGAGTCAGGGCCTTTTCTGCTCCTCACACCACCCCACCAGCGAGTAGGCTGGGGGTGCACAAGAAGTTGGGAGGGGACACAGCTGGGACAGCTGACCCCAACTGCCCAAAGGCATATTCCATAGCATATGACATCATGCTCAGTATATAAAGCTGGTGGAAGATGGAGTAAGCAGGGTGGCAGGGGACAGGACATTCAGAATGATGGCGTCTGTCTTCCCAAGTCACCATTACATATGGAGCCCTGCTTTCCTGGAGATGGCTGAACACCTGCCTGCCAATGGGAAGGGGTGAATGGATTCCTTGTTTTGCTTTGCTTGTGTGCATGGCTTTTGCTTTACTGTTAAACTGTCTTTATCTCACCCCACAAGTCTCACCTTCTCATTCTCTCCCCTGTCCTACCGGGGAAGTGAGCAAGCGGCTGCGTGGTGCTTGGTTGCTGGCTGGGGTTAAACCACAACAACTAGCTGCTAGGCAGCTGCAGCCAAGGCTCCTTCCCCAGGCTGACAATCGTACCAGCCTTTTTTAAAGATTTTTTTCAATGTGCAAAACGCCTTTTCTGTGTGCAAAAAGCAGTCATTTTAGCAGCTGGTTTAAGTCAGTGTCTTATCTTTGATTAAGTAAGGAACTTCAGCCATGAAGAATGCTTTACTACTAGTGAAATAATGACCTGTACCATCTCATCTCACCTTTGAAGAGAGACATCAAGAATCAGTAAGTCAGAGGAGCTACGGCCTCCAACTGTACCTGTCTGCTGGAGATAGATGGCCAGTGCAGTTCTGGACACATGACAGCAATTTACAATTTGATCATTTAAGCCAAGCATATGAAGATTGCCACATGAGCTACCATTATTCAAAATAGCAGCAATTCTACAAAGATTCATGTCAGTAGCTCATTTGCAAGATGAAAATTATTTTCTTCATCTCCAGAATTATACCAGTATCTTATACTGGACAGCATGTACTCTCTCTGTGACAGCAAGAATCCCTGTGAATTGTGAAGTCTGGAGAAGTGGTGGTTCCTCCATCTTTTTTAGGGAAGGAATTTCACTTTGCTTCCAATAGATGTACTCACCGTATGTTGCTTTCTTGTCCCCAATCCAGCGCATGGCCCAGTCAGCTTTCTTTTTAACACATGGTAATGTTTCAATAGCATTGAAAAGAAATTCCCTGAGAAGGATAAAACACATTAGGATTGGACATTAGCACAACTAGTACAATAAGCATTCACTGCCATAGATGGCCTTGTTCACTCACAAGTGCTCTGCACCTTCATCCTGATAATTAAGTCTCCTTCCCCATCTTATTTTACACCAATCTAGCTCTCTTTGTACCCACATCAACACCAATTGACATAAATTCCCATGACAATATCAAGGGGAGTACTGTTTCATCAAGCATTGTATTTGAACAAGGTTGTCAAAACTACAGATCAACCAGCCTCCACTTTCCAGTGGCAAGGCACCAGAGCTCTCATGTAAGCAGTTCTTCCTTAAACATTCACTAGAATTAAGCATCTCACAGTAGAAATCACACGGTCAGCTTTCTACAAAATAGCAGCAATTTAATATTTCTAGACTGCAAATAGCATTGCAATACCACATGACATTTCACTCAACAGGATGTCAGTCTGACAAGACAACAGCAGAATAATTCAGCCCAGACTGCTCAATGCCCTGGGTTTAAAGATACCATCCTTGAATTGATTCATCTTATGAAAATTTTACACTTTGGTTTTATTTTTAATCAAGACCAAAAGCCACTTTTTGGTAAGTGTGACATGCTTTTTTTCCCCCTCAAGCAAAATAGTCAAGGGCAGCACATGCTATGTAGAAGTGCTTGCTATTAACTAAATGCACTGGGTTTTAGAGATGACATTTTAATAAAAGTTGTATCATTCTCAGAGAAATGTTCGTACATAGCTTTCTACTAGGCGCAGGGGTCCTCCATATGAGCACTTACTGCAATTTAATATACTCCCCTTATTTGACTGCTCCATCTTTTACGTAGTTCCATTCCTTTATTTCGGTATCAAGTGGTTTCAGTTTCACTCTTAATCTAAGTGAGTTCTTGCTCATACACTTCAGAGAAAGATTCTGAAGTAAAGCTGCTCTTAAGCAGCAGTGGTATTTTATATAAATCTAGTTTAAATCCTAAAACTAGCCTAAATTCAGAAAGTTTAATCATTTAAATCAACACTTAAAAGAGTTTTGAACCTTTCATCATCAAGCAATACAAACCTCTCTTTAGAATCTTTAATGTAAGTATCAATAAGAAGACTGTACATTTCTGAATGTATATTTTCCATGGCAATCTGGAAGCCATAGAAACAACGAGCTTCTGTGATTTGTACTTCTTGACTGACTAAATTCAGAAAGTTTAATCATTTAAATCAACACTTAAAAGAGTTTTGAACCTTTCATCATCAAGCAATACAAACCTCTCTTTAGAATCTTTAATGTAAGTATCAATAAGAAGACTGTACATTTCTGAATGTATATTTTCCATGGCAATCTGGAAGCCATAGAAACAACGAGCTTCTGTGATTTGTACTTCTTGACTGAACATTTTTTGCAAAGTTGCAGGTTAGAGGCATTGATGTTGGCTATAACAGCTCTTGCTCAACCCACAGAACCCTCTTCAGATTAATTACAGAGGTGTGGATTATTAAGAGCCATATGAATAGCAGTAGACCCTCACAGCTCCAAGTCACAAGTTATTCTTTGGTCCCAAGAGAAATGGGAAAACTTCTTTGTTTTTCCTTATCCCCCAATAGGAAGAAGATAGAGGATAGAAGCAGAACAAGGGCTCTGAACCAGACAAGTGTTACTGTAAGGCAACGCTTGGAGTGGGCAAACTCACGCATTGCAAAAGCCACGCCAATTTGCTAATTAGTGTAAGACAGCTTTACATGTTGCAATGCTGTAACACTATGTGATCTAGCAAGCAAGCTAGATCAGCCAGCATGCACGTCAAACGTGCGGTTCTCTGGTTATCGCCACAAAGTGATGTTTCCGTCAGGCCTGTTTCTACCCACTTACCAAGTTTTCGTTGACGATGCCATCACTGGCAGCAAAGAAGGCGAGAACATGAGAAATGAAGTACTTCTCCTCAGGCTTCAGGGACTCCCAGTGCCGGATGTCTTTGGAAAGGTCCACCTAAAACATTGCCAGGAGAGGCGGTGAAAGCCACGAAGAGACTGGGACCTACGAGGCCCGTTGCAGAGCCCCGGCCC